TTAGTTTTAAAAGAGAATCACGGGTTTCCCTGGTGGCGCAGTGGTTAAGAATCCGCCTGCCAATGCAGGGGACACGGGTTCGAGCCCTGGTCCGGGAAGATCCCACGTGCCGCGGAGCAACTAAGCCCATGCGCCACAACTGCTGAGCCTGTGCTCTAGAGCCCGAGAGCCACAACTGTGGAGCCCGCAAGCCTAGAGGCCGTGTTCCGCAACAAGAGAAGCCACCGCAGTGAGAAGCCCGTGCACTGCAACGAAGAGTAGCCTCCCTCGCCGCAACTAGAGAAAGCCCGTGCGCAGCAATGAAGACCCAACGCAGCCAAAAATAAATCTAAAAAAAAAAAATAAAAGAGAATCAGCAGTAGCAAAATCAAGATGAAGTACTTTGATCTTGAGAGATGGAAAAATAAAATTTCTTTTGTCTTTACTGTTAGAGTCCAATGCTAATTTGTCCTGACCCTTGGAACTCTTCACACAGATATCCATGAGTGGCCTACTAGGGCCACTCAGAGCAGTGACTTCTTCCTAGGGTGGAACAACACTGTTGGGGAGAATGGGCTGCAGGGCTGGGCAGAGAAAACAGGATTCACAGGGCCAGCCAGTCCCTGACACAGCCCAGCGCCATGCCTCTCTATTTCTCTTCCCCAACCAGGCACAGAGCTCCCATCTCTGGCACCTTGGCCAACAGGCCAGACGGGGAGAGCGCCTTAGCTCTCCTGCCCCACCAGCACCACAGCAGGTGCAAAGGCCACTCTGGATAGAAAGATGAGGCCAAAGTACTAGATATCGCCCCCGTGAGGATGGAGAAGAAAAGAGAATGGTGAAGTGTGGAGCGTGGAAAGTGGGTACCATCCCCACCTGCAGGAACTTCTCAACCCCAATCCAAGCCCTGAGGATGCCAGCCCTAAGGCATTTCTTAGCCCCACCACGGCCTGGGTACCAGCCTCACATCACAGCCATGATGACTCCACTGTGCTCTCCCTCATCCTTTTCAGCCACCAGCGCCCCACCTCGGGAGCCACACGTTCAGGGACTTCCTCTGACTTCCCCTTGGTGGACCCACCTGGAGGAACAGGCCACCCAAAGCCAACTTGGACGGCGGGAGCAGTGGGCTCAGTGTTCCTCCCGCGAGCTCTCTTTCCAGTGGACGCCTCCCACTGTGGGGCAAGTCGTCAGGGGGCTGCCCAGGCTTGACAGAGCATCCTTGGACTGATGCCTGGGGCATATGTTGTCCAGGGGGGATTGTTTTCCCTCCTGGTGCGCTCTCTCTCTCTCCCTCACTCGCGTCTCCTCCCCGGCTTCTGTGAGCTAATCAGGGAGCAGGAGGGGGAGGAGGGGGATGCTGCTTGCCTTCCCCGTTATCTGCAGCAATCCACGGTGACTAATGCTCCCAGTTGGTAAAAAGGCAGTGTAATCAAAACACTTTTTTTTTTTTAGTCCTTAAAGTTAGTCATTCTCCCAGAGTGGAGGAAAAAAAAGCCCACAGCAGGCACCATGAAATGCAAGCTGAGAGACTCGCGCTGCGGATGGAACTAAAGCATTGGCCATGGCAGCTCCCTGTGGGTCTGAGGCTCTGTCCCTCCTCCTCTGGGCCCCTTGGCTAGCCTTCCTCCGCACCCTCATTTGTTCTTGCTTTCCTCGATAGATATCTGGGCTGTCTGATCCCTGAAGGACTCCCATGCCAAGCTGGGATCTGCCCTTTCCTCTCACCCTGCGAGGTGCTGCCACCTGCTGGTCCTGAGTGCTCCAAACTGGAGGAGGCATATAAAAGCTCCCAGGCCGAGGCTGAGTGCCAGATCTTTTGTTAGTTAGGTGTGTGGTCATGTACTGCCCCCTCCCTTCACCCCAACCCGGCCATGGGCCAGGTTGCCCATGTTGGATTCTCCATTTTGCTACTTATTATTAGCTTCATGCTAATAATAATAACAGTACCTACCTCGTAGAGTCATTGTAAAGATTAAACAGGAACCGCTTAGAATACTGCCTGCCACATCGTGAGTGTTCAATTCACTCATAAAAATAATAACAACAAAATAACAAACTGGAATGTGTACCATCACATTGCCCTTACTCATCCAAGGCAGACATTGCTAATCAACCACAGATTTCCCCATCAGTAGAAGATTCCCCAGCATCCTTAGCACAGCACTCCAGCACTCCCTAGATTTCTGTGTGGGGAAGCTGGGAGAGGAAGTATATGACAAGCGCAGAGCTGAGGGTCAATGGGGAGCAGCTGCTTACCAATTACTGCATGAAAAGCTCCAAAGAGAAGTCAGGGGTATGATGGCAGAGCTGGTAGTTCTTCAACTCCTTTCCCTCTGGTAAATAGCTTTGTCCCCTAAAGTAGATCTCTGCTACCTGAACACTCATTAAACTTCCGGCTTAGGCTTCTGGGGAGAAAGCAGTAGTCACCAGGCTTGAAACCAGGAGCATCTGCCTCTACCCAAAGCTCCTCCACTCTCTGCTTCCACTTAGAAACTGAATTTGCTTGTGTTCTATTCCACCCCACCCACTGAAGGGGCAGGGTCAACCTGTATTGTGCTGTCCTTTGGTTACAGAAGAGAAAGACATAGCTCCCAGCCCTGGGTCTAGAGACCCTGCCCCTGAGTTTTCCCCGACAGTGGGAGGTGTTTGTGCTTCCTCATGCTCAGCTCCCCAGGAATCAGTACATGGCATGCCACAGTCACGGAGGGAAGCCTGTGGGTCCACAGGATAGCAGGATGCCTGCCTAAGCCCAGCAGGCCTCAAGCTGAACCAATGAGCCACAGGTAAGTAGACGGAGCTCAGCTCAGGGCAGGCACTCTCCTTACAGACTCCCAGGAAGCCAGCACTCTTCCTAGTCCCCTCAAACGTCCTGCTGGCTACCTGAAAGGTTTGGGGTTGAAAGTAAGCAGCACAGCCTTAGTAGGGCCTCAGTCTGAATCCTTCCATCCCAGAAGGTACATGTTTGGCTTCATTCCAAGACATCCATGATTCCTCAGACCAGCTCACTTCTCTGGGTTTGCCTCTCTGTTTGGGCCCCATCTCACATGCCTTCCCCATTCTCCTGTTTCCTGAGGGCCTCTGGAGTCAACAAGAGAGTTGACTTGGATTCTCAAACTATTGGAGACTTTGGTGATGTGATCCATTACTCATCTTTTAAATGAGGGGGCCAAGACCCGGAAAGGAGATGGGACTCATCAGCTGTAGGGTTAAAGAACTAGAGCCCAGTACTCCTCCAGATTCTTAATCTAGAACTCATCATTCTTGCCCCGCAGGATGTGGTTTCCACCCCACAGCCCTCAAACAGACTTGCCCTGGGTTACGGCGCTTGCCTAGGTTAATACTTGGAAATTCTTTAGCACTGTGGGGCAATAACCAGGGGAGACAGAGTAGGGGGAAAGGAGGAAGCAGGTGGGGAAGCCATCCACACGCGCTGAAATTCCAGGAGCCTCATAAGCACACTGCACCCTCCGTCCATTTATCACACCCTGTGCAAAGCAGCAAGGACTGTCCTTCCCTTTGCCCACACTCTCTGCCCCAGCTGCCCTTTGGTGACTTCTCTTCTTCCTCTTTACTCTTCAAGGCTGCTCTAGTGCTCATTGTGGCCTGTTTCCTGAGGAGTAACAATGGTGATGAAGCTGATCTGTGTGATGTGCTTGGGGGCCCACTCAAGAATGGAAAGAGAAAATATAAATGAGAGACAACCTCCCCTGGACAATTTTCTGAGCTCCCCTATTCCCCCTGGCCAAGCCCTCCACCCTGCCCTGGGAGGTCAGAACAAACTATACATTTCTTTGCCCTAGTTCATCAGCTTAGCTACTCCCCAAGCATCCCTTATAACACTAAAGCCCATTTGAAGCAGAATTCTTAGCGAGAAGGCCCTTGGGTGTCCAGCAGTTACCAGCAGCCTCACTGCCTGCTGCTCTCTCTTCTAAGGCAGGGAGATTTGGGAGGGTGAGGAAGCCAACTTGGCCCAGAACAGCTTAGGAGGGATTTTGGAAGACCCACGGCAAGTGAGCTGCTTGCCTGGAACTCAGTCCTCTTCTCAGCCACCATAGGTTCCCTCTGCCTGGACTCTCCCCAGCCCTCCCCTCAGACTCACCGGGCCAGCCTGATTTGCCTTCAGGATGTGGCTTACCCATTGGCTCCTCCCAGAAGCCTTCACTAAAACTCCATGTGCAGTTGGGAGTGAGGGGGGGCCTTACAGGCTGCCACAGCACTTTCTTTCCCATCATATATTATTACTTTGCTGCCTGTTTATCTCTCTCTCCAGGTAAGTAGCCCTGGGAGGGCATAAGGGCAGGATCCATACTGCTTTTTCATGGTTGTATCCTTGAAGTTAGCTCAGTGTCTGGCACATTGTAGGAGCCCAATGAATATGTGTTAAATGAATGAGCATAAAAATGGAACCATTCACATCATTTGGGTTCTGTAGTGCCGAGCACAGAGGGAAGACTGGAAGACTGGCAGCAACCCTTACTCTTTGTCCTGTTTGGTTGAGTAAATCCACAGAACATGCCAACCTGAAAAGCACTATTCTATTTTCTATTCAGAGCCCTGTGCCATTTTGGAGGAGCAAAGAGATCCATTTGTTTCTTTGCAACAGGTAACTATGTACAGGGTACAAAATTTAAAAGATACAGAAGACCGTAGAGTGAATGTAAGTCTCCCTCACACCCACTCCTTCATCGCTCCTTTCCCCCCTGCCCCCGCTAGACAATTAATTACTGCTACTGTCCCTGGATGAGAAATCTCCTTACAAACTGAAAAACTAAGGCAATTCCCGGTTAAGCAACACGTGTAGTCCGTGCAGGAGAATTTTACCAAGTCAGCGTTTAAGGTACAAAACGCACCCAGGGGTCCTCATGCCCCCGCCACAGGCTAAATCCTCTGGAGCCCCTATGCCTAGGCGCGAGGGTCGCGGGACAGGGCAACTCCGCGAAAGCCAGCGGCAGCGGAAGGGTTAATGCGTCTAGCCCCGTCCTCCCGGCCCGCCTCTTCCGGGCAGAGGGGGGCGGGGCTCACGTCACTTCCTGGAGACTGGCTGAATCCGGAAGCGATCCCCCAGGACCGAGGTGCAGCTGAGGACCCCGGCGGCAGGGCCAGCTTCGGGACCATGAGCTGGTGAGTGGGGCCCAGGCGGCGGGGGCAGCTGGAGCCCCCGGCCTGCAATGCGCTTTGCCCTGCGTCCGTCCGACTTGAGTCCCTTGGCCCGCGCTGCCCGCGGACCCTCTGCCCCGGAGCAGGGCCCAGTTGGCCCCAGCCCTTGGGGTCGTTCAAGGGGCTTTCCTCTGGTGCTTTCCTGGAGGCTCCAGCTCTCGGCAGGCCTCACCGGGAGGTGGGGCGGGGGATCCCTTTAGAGTGGGCTCCCGCGTCTCTTTGCTGACTCTGTACCAAGGTGCTGGTCCCGTCCGTCTTCTCTCAGCTGCGTGAAGTGAGGGACGCCCCTGTTACCTCCTTTACTAAGTATCTGTTGAGAAATATCCACTTCTCTCTCCCACGTGGGCATCTCTCCACCACTGCCAGGTGGCCCTCACTCTGGCCGTCTGAGCCCAGCTCATGGATCAAAACCCCTAGCTTTCAGACGAGTAGCCTTTGCTCCACTTAGTCTTCAAGAGACAAAACTTGCTTCTCTTTCGGAGGGAGCCAGAATTACACGCCACCCGCACTCCCATTATGGGATTGGACTAATTTTTTTCCAGGGCCTTACACACTCTTTGCTTTCCCTGTTAAATTAACGTAAGTAAGCTTAAATGTTATGGGAACTATCAAGCCATGAGAAAAGAAGCCAGGGAGCCTCAGAGTAGTAGTCACAACTCCAGAGCTGGCACGTGCGTTGCTATGGAACTGTATGATACTTGGCTCATGGTAGACACTTGATCATGTTCAATGGTTGATTTCTTTTGTAAGACTCAGTTTGCCCAAAGGACCTTACCTTCAGGCTTGAGGGCCTGTATATCCACAACCCAAACCTCAGGGCATCCAACTAAAGTGTGCTTGTATGAATACATTGATCCCCGGAGATGTACGAGATGAATCAGTCCTTTTGGAATCCAAGTTACGTTGGCATAGGGTACATGTTTGCCACTCTCTCCTCAGAGTCTAGCCTGTTGCTTTACGAAAAGTGCACATTAGCTAGTTATGAACGAGTGAAGATGGTAGAATATTCTTTAGGAAGGCGCTTGCAGCCTCACATTTGGCCATCAATGGAGACTAAGCTCTGGCCACAGACAACTGATGTCATTCAGTGTCAGGGACAGCCCTGTAATGTGAAATGTAAGCCATTTCTGTCCCCTCCTCCCCCCAGCTTCTTAGACGAAGATTGACCGACAGATGTCAGACAGTCAGCACCAGCGCGTGGGGGTCAGCCCCGAGCAACCCCCTAACAAGCCCCAGCAGGAGCTGCTCCTTTTCCCTCCACCTTTGCTCCAGGAGGCCGATAGGGGGCTGGAGCCTTAAAAAGCTAACTTTCGCGTCTTGTTATAACCTGGTTAGTGATGGGCATAGTGGCAATCCTTCAATTCCCCTTCCTAGAGGGATTACTTCCTTAAAGGATCAACCTGGGTCCCTTTACTTTGTGATGTAGATGACTTCTTGCCTGCTGCATCTTGAATCTTTGGAGTTCTCTTACCTAATGTCTCCAAAAGCAGACAGTACAAGGTGCTTTATGTTTCCTAGACTGGCATTTACAATTCTTAAGAATGAATTGATCTTTCCTTCACAAATCAGGAGAAGAGTAGAGCAGAGGCCACTAAAGGTAGAGTCGTCTCTGGGTGATCTGAGACGCATTGTTTCCACCTGTCTTACAGAAATCCTTTTTCTGAAAAACTAGTAGCCTATTTCAGGCTGGAGAGAATTGAAATTGACAAGTAACTGCCCAGCCAAAGCTGAGATTTTGTCCAGTAGAATTAATATAACAATACACACACATCTTGGCACCTCCTTGGACTGAGGGTCACAACCAAAAGGGTGGCTTTGTCCCTCAAAGCTGAGGTTCCTTTCTCTTCCTCCTTAGAGGGCTTCTGCGTCATCTCTTGCGTGGCCCCTGACCCTCTCTCCCTGAGAGGGGAATAGCACCAGCGCCTGGGCACACAATTGCACTCAGTTCCTGGCTCAATGGCTGGCAAGGGGACCAGGGCTGGGTCCTTCTGATTCACTCCTGGAGTGGTTTTCCTGCTCCCAGAATGAATCCATCCATTCATCCGAGATTGGAATTTTCAGTGGGGGAAGAGACCAGAGTGACGTAGAGCCGTCATGGGAGTCTGATGCCCAAGGTCAAGTTCACCAAGCACATGGGATATGCCAGCCATCGTCGAATAAGGCCTAGGGGTACGCGGCCCATGGTCCCCAGAGGGTAACCATTGTTCTGGGCTAGGCTGGACTTTCAAAATGTCACAGTGAGAAATGTCCAATATTGGTGCCCTTTGCACACTGTGGACTTTGCATGAAGAGTGAGAGGTCTTTGTTCTCTGCTTCCTCAGTGCATGCAGCCCGCCCACCGCCTGTTTGTTTAGTGGGCACTTGCTGCCTTCCTGTACCATCTACTCATCCATCCGTCCACTGATCTGCTTTTCAGCAAGGTGGCCCAGTGGTGGGCTCTGCCCGGAGGAAGGCATTTGATGTTTACATCTCAGATCACTGATCCACCTCTTGGCCCCAAGCCAAGTGCTGCTTTCTTACCCTTCCTCCTCCGTGTCACCCCCCTCTCCGTGTGTGTGTGTGTGTGTGTGTGTGTGTGTGTGTGTGTGTGTTGTGTGTCTTTATTATGGTGTGGAGGGAGAATTAAATGGAATTAAGGATAGTGACCTTAATCTTGCTTAGCTGTCTCCAGGACCCATAGCCTTCCTTGGAACCACACACCTTCATGGTGATCTTAGGCTTCAATGACGAGGAAAAAGGAGCACTGCTGGAGGAAATCGTCCTATACCTAGAGGTTCAGGAGTCTGACTCAGAAGGAAGGAAATTAAAGTCAGTGCAGATAAATTTGGTAGGAGTTGGAGTGCTGAGTTCAGGCTCTGGTTCCCTCATTCTCAGTGTGGCCTGGTTAGGCGTCTGATCTTCCTCTGTCTTGTTTTCTCCACTTATAACACGGAATGGATAAGCTCAGCTGATACTTTGTCACCCAGACCTGTTGTGAAAAGAAAGGAAACCCTGGGCTTCCCTGGTGGCGCACCCTGCGGATGCTATTTTGTTTTCTGACTCTTCTGGGCTCTTCTGCCCCTTAAATATTGGTATTCCTCAGGGAACATCTTTTTTTTTTTTTTCCTGTTCTCACCATGTATACCCTCCCCATCATCTTCAGGATAAAGGCCTAACTCTGGGCCATGGCCTAACTAAGGCCTAACTAACTGGAGACTGGAGGCCATGGCCTAACTAAGGCCCTTCTGGATCTGGCTGTCCCCCTTCACTCCTGTGTCCAAGCTTCTCCTGGTCTCTCGTGCCCCTGCTCCTCTGTGCGTGCCATTCCCCTGCCCAAAATGCCCTTTACTCCCCTCACCTCCCCACCCGCCATCCCCCAGGCCAACATCCACTCATCCTTAAAGAGTCAGGGCAGGCTTCAGCTCCTCTGAGGGTCTTCCCTGAACGGCCCCCCACACCCTGCCAAGCTGAGTGGGGTGCCCCTCCTCTGACCGCCGTTAGCATCTGTACTTGAATTCTTGGCTTACTTTTCAGTCAGCCCACTAGTCCATGAGCTGTTGAAAGCAGAGGCTGTCTCTTGGTCACCACTGTATCCCTAGCGCTGTTCCCGGCAATCAGTAAATGTTTACAGAATGTATGAATGAGGACTTTCTTCCCATTTACTGACTTGCCTTCACTCAGGAAAAAATTTAAGATAAAAATGTGCAAAAGCTACTGGCCACTTCCTGAAGTGAAGAGCCTCTAAGCGTGCTATTGTTAACATGAAGGAGTGGCTTCCGAGGCTCTCTGAGGCTGTCTCTGTTCTCTGCCCTCCCCTCCCCACCCTTCCCCCACCCAAACTCCTTTATTCTCGAGCTCCATGGTGCTTCTCTTGTAGTACTCCCACGCTATCCACGTATCACAAACGTGCGCCTCTCTCCCACATAAAGTCCGTGAGAGCAGGGTCTACAGCTTCTCCATCTGTGTGTACACATACTGTCTTGCACATAGTGGGTACCTAATCGGTAATTGTCAAATGAAGTGGATGGAATGTAAAGAAGGATGGTAAACTGCTGGATCAGAGGGACCCATCCATGCAATTGCAGACATTTTCTCCGTGGAGTCTCTTTTCCCTCTAGCATCACCAGTGCTATCTTACATTCATATAGTGCTTTTAACTTTGCACAGTACTTTCCCATCCATTCTCTGATATCATCCCCACATCTACCCTTTGAATTTTGCAGTTCAGGTCTGATTATCTCCCTTTGACAACTTACCTGAATTCACTCACCTGGCGGAACTGGAACTGAAACCTGCATCTCCTGAGTATTCCCTGTGCTTAAACAGGAACATTAGGAAAGTGGAAGACCATTCCCAAGCTGATTGGATCCCAAAGGAAGGTGTCTGACTTTGCTAGGCCGTATTGACACCACCGGGTTGGTAGTGAATTACAGGAAGTGACCAGTTTTCACAGGTAAAGTGATAGAGGAAGTCCTGTGTCCTGCAGACCTCCAGGTATTCTGGACCATCTCAGCTTCTTCCTATTCTGGGGCCTCCCTGCATGGGGCAGCCTTATCACTTGCTTCTGTGACTTTGGACAGACCAGGCTCTCCCCAAGCTTCTTCCTCCTGTGTAAAGAGCATAGTAATGCCTAGAAGACAGGGACCCCATGAGGAACCCATGAGATTCTATATTCAACATTGTTTTGGGAACAAACGTAAAACTCTTCTTTCAGCCTTTCGTAACAAGGGGGGAAGGGACCTTTTCCCGATTTTGGAGTAGTTGGAAAGAGTCAAGTACCTTGAGTCCCACAGCTTCACAGTCAAAGATGTTTTCTTGTATATTATACTTTTAAGTAAATGTGTTGAGGTAGCTTTCAAATTGGCAGTTAAACTATTAAAGTTGTTTTCCCAAAACCATTATTCTGGTGGCTAATCTATTAAGTAGAGCCCAGTGTAGTTTGTTGCACACAGATAGTGTTCAATGAATCTTTGTTGATTTAATGC